ACAGATTCCTGTAAATCAGGGCTTTCTAAGCCTCTGTGTATGAAGTTTAACCAGTGAAATATGCCAGCCACATCAAGGGGTCGGGGAGCATGATGACACACATTTCAATTGTGTGGATGCTGCAAATTGTGCTATAAAACATCAGGAACCTCAGTACATGGAATCCTACACAGAACACATCCTACACAGAGGTGGTTAAGTCAGTAGGCCAGGCATTGGAAAAGATGTAAGTGTTGGAATAAGTGTTGGAGTCTGGTAGCCAAACTAAGAGTTACAACTCTTCTGCTAACAGCTGAGTGACATTAGGCAAGGTACTGAGCCTATCTGATTCACCATTCAGTTACCTGTAAAATAAACCAGTCACTTTGTCTAACCAGGATTCAATTAGACACCTAATTACTTTAGTCTCCTTACTCATCATTAGGTATCAGAATGACAGACCAGGGGCTGGAAAGATGGCTCAGCAGTTAAGAGCACTTACTGCTCTTGCAAAGGACCTAGATTGGTCCCCAACAACATGGCAGCCCACCCACAACCACCTGTAACTCCAATCTGAAAGGCTCCAATGCCCTCTTCTGGCCTCTAGAGGCACTGCATGCACATGATACACATACACACATGAAGGCAAAACACTCATGTACATAAATCTAAAACAAAATGTTTTCAATGACACACTGATCTGGTTAGATACTCTTTCAATGCTGGCATCTTTCTCTTAAGACAGTGATAATGAAAAATAAGAATACTTCTAATATAAGGTCTCTAATGCTGTATATCCTCATAGTTTGTTATGCCTCATTGAGATGGCACTGGAGAGCAATTTAAGACTTTTAAATATCACGAATCTGTCATCATATATGGGAAGATACCTGATGCTTAAAGACTTGGAATCATTAAGTAAAATTTATTCATACTAACTGACTAGCATACCATACGCAGAACATTTAATTCTAAACACATGGGTAAAGATTTGGGAGGCACTGGAGACTGGTATTATAATATTGTTTTAAAGTTCATGGAATATAAGGGAATAACTCTTGAGCTACTCCAGACTAAATATGGTTCATTAGAGCTTATTTCAAATATGAGTGCTAAAATCAACAGACTAAAGCCATCAAGAGATGGAGGCCTAATGCTGAGTTAAGTTGAATAGGATCATACCTTACTTCTCATTTTTATTTTTAAAATGTAAAACATTCAGGGACTGGGGAGATGGCTCAGTCAGTAAAGTGCTTTCCACACAAGCATAAGGATCTGAGTTTGATCCCTAGCACCCATATAAAAATCTGGGTGTGGTGGCACAACATACTTGTAAACCCTGTGCTGGGGAGGTAGAGACAAGCAGATCCCTAGGGCTCACTGGCAAGCCAGCCTACCCTATTCAGCAAGCTCCCAGTTCTAGTAGAAGAGCCTGTCTTTAAAAACAAGGTAAATGGCTCCTGAGAAATGACACTTGAGAGTGACCTCTGTCCTCCACAAGTATGTGCACACATACACCTGCACACATATGAATATGCACATATATACATACACACAAATGTGTATCAATCATTAGAGTTCCTTAAATAACAAAACTCATAAATTCATTTCCCTTCCTGGGCAAACATTGAAAGTCATTTGACGAATAAACTCAAATACTAAATATTATTTAAAGAACAAAGAATAGAAGCAAAGTTATTGTTGGAAAGATAAAATTAAAGACAGAAGAAAATGTAAATGCTTGTTCTCAAATACTATGCTGAACTACTGTTCCTTTCCCTCTCAATCTCACAGCTATACCCTTGCTGGTCCTGACACCATAGAATGCCTGGCCAATGGCAAGTGGAGTGGAAATAACCAGCAGTGTCTGGCTGTCTCCTGTGATGAGCCCCCCAATGTGGACCACGCTTCTCCAGAGACTGCTCACAGGCTGTTCGGAGACACTGCGTTCTACTACTGTGCAGATGGTTACAGCCTGGCGGACAATTCCCAGCTCCTCTGCAATGCCCAGGGCAAATGGGTTCCTCCAGAAGGCCAGGTCATGCCCCGCTGCATAGCTCATTTCTGTGAAAAACCGCCATCTGTTTCCTATAGCATCTTGGAATCTGCGAGCAAAGCAAAATTTGCAGCAGGCTCAGTAGTGAGCTTCAAGTGCATGGAAGGTTTCGTGCTGAACACCTCAGCAAAGATTGAATGCATGAGAGGTGGGCAATGGAACCCTTCTCCCATGTCCATCCAGTGCATCCCTGTGCGGTGTGGAGAGCCCCCAAGCATCATGAACGGCTATGCAAGTGGAACAAACTACAGCTTTGGGGCCATGGTGGCCTACAGCTGCCACAAGGGGTTCTATATCAAAGGGGAGAAGAGGAGCACCTGTGAGGCCACAGGACAGTGGAGCAGCCCCATGCCCACATGCCACCCTGTATCCTGTAGTGACCCACCTAAGGTCGAGAATGGCTTTCTGGAGGTAAGAGACTAATCAGCAAATGGTCCAGAACTTCCATCAATTACAGGGCCGACCCATTCTAGCCAACCCAGTGCTTAGAAGCATCACAGTGAGCCAGTGAGCAGATGAACTGTTGAAATGCAGACGTGGCTCAAACCTACAAGTTGTGTGCATTGGATAAAAATGAATCAAGATGATTATGCATCTTTTCAATATAGAATTTTTCTGCATTATAGTAGTCTATAGGCATTCTAAGCCCTTTGTGAAATATCTTAGCCTTAAATATGAAGTTAGAATAAGCCATTTAATGAAATGGCCATGAAATTTCTTTTAAGAAATCATTACCTAAATAGTACCTAGAGATATTTATTAGTTCTAATTTTTAAACAAAAATATGGGTTAAACCAACTAAGATGCAGTTTTTGTACTGCTTTTTTTTGTTTGTTTGTTTTTTGGTTTTTGGTTTTTTCTAGACAGGGTCTCCGTGTAGCCCCAGCTGTCCTGGATTCACTATGGAGACCAAGCTGGCCTCGAACTCACAGGGATCTGCCTGTCTCTGCCTCCCGAGTGCTGGGATTAAAGGCATGCACCACCACGCCTGGCCTGTACTGCTCTTTTAATAGATCTAAAGGTAAACTCATCATGATGGTTAAATTAGTAAGTCTGCCATAAGTATGCACTGCCTCCACACCAAAGTATGTTCTCAATAAGTAAATCAAGACAAGAACAGGGGCTGTAGAGAAAGCTCAGTAGGTAAATTGTTTTCTGTGTAAGCATGAGGACCTAAGTTTGATTCCTAGAACCTATGTGGATCCTTGGGGTTCTCTAGCTGGCCAGACTAGCCTACCTGGACAGCACCAGTGAAAGACTTTGAAAACAAGAAAAAACAAAAACAAAACAAGGTGGGCAGCACCTGAGAAATGACACCTAAGATTGATCTTTGGGGTTTCCACACACGTACCCACATATACCAAAAGAAGAGAGAGAGAGAGAGAGAGAGAGAGAGAGAGAGAGAGAGAG